CGCCACGTGTCCGCGCTGTTTTCCACCAAAAAAACCCTGAAAATCCCGCTGTCGGGATTACACCTGTTTTCCACCAAAAAACCCTGAAAATCCCGCTGTCGGGATTACACCTATCCCGCACCCGCTGTTGCCTGCGGGGGGAAGGGCGGGTTGGAGCCGGGACCGTTCCCGCTCCGATACCAGTGTGCCGGACCCGCCGGGATGGCGGTCCGTTAGGATGGAGACGAACAAGGAGGTAGAGATGGAGCTGGAGGGGACAGCGCAGCTCCGACGCAGACTCCACACGCAAGTACTCCAAGATCTGCGAAAGTGAACAATGATAAAAAAACAGACTGCAGCTGGGGTATACCCCCAGCGGACTGACTGTACTGGACTGGACTGGCCTGGTACCGACCGTGGTACCGGGCGGGACTGGACTGGACTGAAACAATATACGGCCTGTGGGGTCAGGCCACGGCCTGGTCCCACAGGCCGAACTGGCAAATAGCCAAATAGGCCCTGGCAGTAGGCCAGGGCAGATGAAGGCCCGCTGCAGGCGACCAAGGAGGAAAGGATTGGCTTGACTTTACTGGCCTGGCCTCTCCTCAGCTCACCTTGCCTTGAAGGACAGTGTTTCCCCCATGATGCAGAACTTATGGCTATAATTAATTGTCAGTGATTTGATCAAGCACTTCTGCAGCAAGAGGGGACTGCATGCAAGGTAGAAGGTCGATGGGTAGTCTGCGTGTATATCCCCCACCCCGTCTCCCTCTCCCTCTCCCTCCCCCTCCCCCTCCCCCGCCCCCTCCGTCTCTATAATTGTCAGTGATCTGATCAAGCAGTTCTGCAGTAAGAGGGGACTGCAAGGATGAAGTTCGATGGATAGTCTCTGAGTTTATATCCCCCTCCTCCTCTGTCTCATGCTTCGTAGTACTATGAATGAATAAAGGAGAAAGAAAAGAAGGGTGCGCGTACAGTACATGATCTGGGCTGGCAGGGTGTATGGCTGTCGCCCTGTGAACGCTGATTTCGCTGATGACAGTCTTCATTGACACTTCTGGAGGGTAAGCTGCTGGAGAGTAAGGATGGCAAATGATTTGGCGAGTGTCAGTGTCAGTTGCAATCAATGACATGTGTTGTTGTGCTATTATTGAGCTGCAATCATGGGCCCTCTGGGTCCACCGCGCTGATGCACGCGGGTAACCGTGTGTGTTTACATTGAAGTGTACATATGTCCTAGGGATTTCGAAATCATTTCATCAATGTCATAATTTTACTTAGGTCGTCAGAAAGAAAATGGTACACAATTCTCTGCCTGAATGCATGTAGAGGTAGTAGCTATGGAGTTCGGGGTGCTCTTCCTTTCCCTCAACGGGGATAGCAGCCAACATTTTCGCCTCCATCAAGATTCGAACTCCTGATCTGCGCGTCAACAACGACGTGAATTCTTGTAGGATTCAGGCACAACTCAGGCATTACCCTGCCAGTGAGGAGAGCGGGGGGGGCGGGGGGTCGGGTCCCACCTAGGAAGTCCTCTTGATGTGCTCGACGTGTAGTTTCTGAGGCTGGATGGCATGAAGGAGCACACCGATGGCCTTGCGCCGATTGCCTTCCAATCGCTTTTACTTTTTTGTTATTTTGTAATCATCTTATTGGCATGATTCCTTATAGTTTTACAGTGACAAGTCATTTTGTGGTCACCTTCGGTCTTTCATTATGATCTCTTTTTATTGGGGTTACTATGGTGGGGTTTCAAACTCATAGAAGACAGCGACCTTTCAGGTGGGATTTTGCATGCATATTAATACATGCGGTACGAATCAAAATTTCAAAGTCGAGACTGTAGCCTTTTCGAGACTGTAGCCTAGTATGCTAGGGGCATGAGACCGGGCATAGTCCTGGGACCTGGGACCTGGGACCTGGGAGTGAGAACAACACAGCGAATTCCGGAACTAGTTAGGTTGATAACTTGATAGTGTCCTCTGGATTCAGGAATGGATACATCATAGAAGTAGGATTGGAGTTGTTCATGAAGTACATATTAACTTTATTATTAATTACATACTAGAGTTTTTTCTTAAAAAACATATTAGTTTTTTGAACTTTTTCCCCTAAAAGCTTCTGAACTAGTTCTCAATCGAGGCCGGTTAAATGGTCATTGCTCTCACCTTGAATTGTGTGTTTTTGCATTAGCTGAAGCCGGGTAATGGCCCCGGTACTGTATGAATATGGTATGGGACGCTGGGCCCGGTTCCCAGCATGTGCTGCTCCCAACGAATAGATCGGAGCCTTGTTTTTGGGAGGAAAAAAAAAAAATCGAAGCTGGGTAACGGCTTTGGTATCCTCAACGTCATCATCAAACACTCGTTGTAATCTCATGTATTCTGATTATCAGGGACGCTGGGCCCGGTTCCCAGCACGTGCTGCTCCCCACAAATAGATCGGAGCGTTGTTGTTGTTGTTGCTGTTGTTGTTGTTGTTGTTGTTGTTGTTGTTGTTGTTGTTTTAAGAGAGACTGTACGTTAATGCATGCCATCGTATGGTAAATTCTGCGAGGGCTAACATTGGCTTTTTTCTTTTTCTTTTTCCGTTAAAATCCTAGATTCCACTGCAGTCATTGGCCATTTTGGAGGGTGTTGGAATCTTGGCAGGCGATTACTGTGGTACAAGGGTACAAGGGTACAAGGGCATTTGTGGTGGGGGGGTATAATTGCTGACCCGCTTGAGAGACGGGCCCGGTAGGTACAAGGGTTGTGGGTGCCTGAATGCAAAGGTCAGTGCTGTCAGCAGTGGATGTCAGGGATTTTGGGCCTTGCAGAGGGTACATATACTCTGGCATTTGCTGGGACATCATTTCTGAGTGAATAGTGGCTTGTTGAGGGGCGGGTGCGCTCAGAAAGTCGTAATATATATATATATATATATATATATATATATATATGAGTCGGTGAAACTCCGACGAAACAGTTTGTCACAGCCCCTCGTTTGTTGTCCTCTTCTCTCTCTCTGCCTACGGTTTACCGG